ACCCAAAAATATGATAGCTATGTTTGTTGAATGTGAATATGCACGGTCCATCTAAAGAATACTTTTATAAAGTATTTAAGGTCACCCAAACCAACTCTACATTGTCAAGCCATTGTGAAAATATATCATATACAAAACTGGGCATAAGAAATTTTAAAATTCCCATAAAGATGTTTATACCTACTTCTAGGGACTCACCTAATTACCTTGAGATATAAATTTACTAACGCTATTCTGCAAGCATAATAGCCTTTTAAATTCAAAGCTGGTAAGTTAAACAATTAAAGGAACATTAATAACTAATGATTCATTCAAAATTAAGTACATAGAAAATACAAAATTTTATATTACATTTTATAGCTTTTGGGGAACAGGCTAGCTTTCATTTTTCTCTTTCCTCTTCTCTCCTTTAAATACTGATGAAGAAACACAAGCATTTTCCATTTAAATAAATTCCCTTGGATGAACCTGTCTCAATGGTTTGATTAAAATCAGTTGGAAAAACGTGATTAGCCCTGTTTACTAAAAGTATAGAAAAAGTATGCTGAAGCAGCCGTGTTCTAATTATCCTTCCACATTTCACTCTGGAGAAGTTTGCCTAGCTGGAGCAGTCAGGGTTTCCTAGATTCAACCAAACTATTTCCTTACCCTCTGCTTTTCAAAGGAAAAACAGCTTCTTTTAAATTAACAAGCATGTGAGAAAAGAACGAAAATTTAAAATGCTACATAGTTTTTTCCTGGAAATACTTTTGTAGGGTACCAAACTCATTGAGGTAATTTCCAGATCTCCTAATGATGACAAATATTTCTAATTATGAATAAATGTACACTAAATATTTTGATGTTGATAGTCTGCTCTTTTGCAATATTTTCTGTCTACAAATGACTTGTCTGCAAATTTCCTTTGTGCCTTACTATAAAGCCATTATACCTAAGCTGCTGCTGTGTTCAGAATTTCTCTATTTGAAAAAAAAAACACATTCATTATGGTAAGGAAATGCTTATGATCAAATGCTCCTTTTCATAATTATCACATAGCTGTTTGATGATGACTGGCCCAGGGAGCTCTAAAATTCTGTATAAAGAGAAGGCATCCCCATTGCCAAAATGAACTGAAATCCATTTCTGAGTCCTATAGGATAATTTTATATAACATTTACATTTTTTCCAAAAATATTTGAAGACATCATGCCAGACATACAGTAAACATTAATGACGTTTACTGAATTGAATTATTGGTCATCATTTGATGTCAGTGGGGTTGCAGGTATCTCCCTAGACCAAGTGTTCTAGTCTGTTTCATGTTGCTATAACAGAATACCTGAGATTCAGTAATTTATAAAGGAAACAGGTTTATTTAGCTCACAGTTACACAGGCTGTGAAATTCAAGGGCATGGCCCTGCCTTCCACTGAGGGCTTTTATGCTGCATCACAACAAGGCAAAGAAGGTCAAAGCGGAAGTGGACATATGCAAAGAGACAAGGCCCGAGGAACATCCTGGTTGTAAGACTCTACCCTCTAGGGAACTTGTTTATTCCCATAAGAACGTTTCCAGTGTCCTCTGAGTGAGAATTCCCTCACGAGCTGGAGAACTGCACCAAACCATTCATGAGGGGTCCACCCTCACAACCCAAATACCTCCTGCTAGGCCCCACCTTCCAACACCACCAAGGTGGGAAACAAATTTCAATAGGGGTTTTGGAGGAGGCAAACTCAAACCACACCACCAAGATATACACAGAGACTGCAAGCGATCCAACTCCACAAGATGAATGTCACGAAAGCTATGGTTCTTTCCATCCATCTAGTCAACTCGCAGATGGCAGGCAACATTTTCAGTCCTAGAATACTATTACTACAGATTCTGGCTCATGCAGAAGGGATTACACACAAAAAACTACAACTGTGAAACAAAGTCACCAAGGGGTTACATTTGTCTTAAGCAATTAATTGAATGGCAGAATAGCCAGGTTGTCATACAGAAATTGCCCAAAGAGCCATGATAAGAATTTATGGAAGTAAGGGTCTCTTTTTTATTGAGTATGCTTGTTTCAAAAGTGGGTTCTGGGAACCTTACTCTGGCATCTAGTTTAAATGAGAACCCCTGCATGGAGCCATATGTGATGAGCTAGGCAAAGGTAACAGTGTAGTCTATCATGGAACCTTCTGAGACAGGTTGAGCAGAGGAAACAATGTGGTTATCTTCACTTTCGTAAAGCAACAGATTCTGAAAGGCAGCAATTAGGATCCAAGAAGAAGCATCAGCAAAAAATAAAGAACACTTTTTCTAAGTTTCTTATTTATTCTATCCATCCTTCATTCACCATTTACTGAGTATATGCTATGTGCCAAATACTGCTCTGGGCACTAGAGACAAAACACTGAAAACTGAAGACAAAACTCTTGAGATTATTTTAGCAGGAGCTGGGGAGAATGAATAAGCAAACAAATGAATCCAAGCTCACTCAGAGAGTGAAGTATTTCAAAGACAATGAGATAAGGGGATTCAAAGAATTCACTGGGGCAGTTTAGATTGGATGGTCAGATGAAACCTTTTGAGGTGGTGATAGTTCTGCAGACATCTATGTGATGTTAAGGAGTCTGCTATGCAAAGATCTGGTGCAGCAGATTCCCAACAGAAAGAATAGCAAATACTACAAGCTAGATTTCTTCAAGAAACCTAAAGAAGCAGGTCTACATGGCTAAAACACACATAGCTATGGTCTATGGGAGCATAGTGTAAGATAACTAGGCAGGGGCAATAGTAAACAGAACTTTCTAGGCTGTGGTAAGAAGTACAAATTGTATCTGAAGTGCAACGGAAAAACTCATTTGAGAGTTTTTTTTAAAAAAGGGCGTGACACAATCTGATTGTTTTAAAAAGATTGCTCAGCTCTTGGGAGGGTGTTGTTTGTGGTTGTGGAGGATAGTTATGAGCAGACAGAATAGAAGGCTTTTGTGGTCGCCCAGGTGAGAGATGACAACAGCTTGGACTAAGGTTATAGCAATAGAGAGTAAGCAAAGTAAATGACTTGGGAATGTATTTTGGAGATGAAGAAAACATGACTAATTAATTGAGTGTGGGGATGAAAGAAAGCAACAAAACAAGGATGACTTCTAAATTTTTGGACTGAACATGAGTAGAACAATTTGAGGAGGAACAGGTTTGTAGGGGGTGGATATCCGGAGTTCTGCTTTTGAGACGTGTGTTAACCATGATAATAATAGTATCTACCTTGTAGCGTTGTTGTGAACAACGAATAAGAAATAGGAGAATTTAGATCTGTACCTAACATGTAGTAATTGTTCAATAAATATCAGCTTCGACAATTATTCCTCAAGTGGAGATGTAAAGGTAGTTGAGGATATAAGAGTTCTGTGAGAGGCCAGGATTAAAGATCTAAATCGGAAAGTTATACAGGATCCAATGCTGCTCAAACCATTTTTGGTGAAGAACTTTTATCTTTATCCACTGCGGACCAATACTGGATGTGTTTGTCTCTCAAAAATCCATATGTTCACATTCTAACTCCCAAGGTGATGCTATAAAAAGGTGGAACCTTTGGAAGGTGGTTAGGTCATGAGGGTGGAGCCCTCATGAATGGGACTAGTGTCCTTATTAAAAGTGACCCCAGAGAGAGTTCTTGCTCACTTCCACCACGCGAAGACACAGCCAGGAGTCCGCAGTCCATGAGCCGGGAATCGGGCCCTCACCAAATTAGGAATCTGCCTACATTTTGATCTTGGACTTCCCAGTCTCCAGAACCAATAGAAACCAGTTTCTGTTGTTTATAAGCCATCTAGTCTACGGTATTTTGTTGTAGCGGCCTGAAAAGACGAAGGCAAATACTTTTGTAAAATCCAACAAAAATGAAGACACTTTGAAGAGCACTAGTACTCAAAGCCATATGAGACCCTGGATGAGGTCCTGAGACACATTTAACTCAAGTACCTGTGAGTGTCTGAGGGTGGAGGCACAGGAGAGTTCGGTAGGCTGAAATAACACAATGCTTGCTTACATGAACACACAAGCAAGGGGAAATCACATATATTCACAAGTAATCCATTTTAATTAGATGTAAGAAAAAAGCCCATTCACTCCTGCAGGAACTCACTCCTCTTCCCCGAGATGTGGTATCTGAAGAGCAAGACACTGCTTCTCTACTTCCTCCGCACAAACACTTCAGTCTAATCATGGGAGATGCAATCTAGCGCTCGGGTTGCATGAAGTATCCCAAGCTCCTTCCCTACCAAGCTGGGCTCCACTTGGGCATAGAACGATTATCAGACCTGATAAATACCAAGCTGTCCCCTAAAGATGCTCTAGGCCCCAAGCATCAGCACCTCCGTTAATAATTCACCACTCTTGCCTTGTCATCGGCTTCTTCCCACTCAAAACTCTGCTACAGCGAGTGTCCGGTGCCTGAGGCAGCTGGCATGGTCCAGGTCAGAGGGCACCTGCACTGATTCTTAGGAGAAACGTCTGCTTTCTGGGTGAAGAAATCAATAAGTAAAGGACGCTTCACAAAGTCCTTTGGAAAGCAAAACTTGCTTAACTTCACACTTTCCTGAACCCCCACGTAGGGACTGCTTCCTCCGGGACCCGCGGCAGGCAGGCTGCTGTGCCTCACAGACCGGCTCCTGGGTCTTTCGTGCAGCCCAGGACAGCAGCGCGCAGGCTGCGGGCGAGTGGAGTTGCAGGGGCTGGGGCGGAGAGCCGCTGTCACCCAGGGAAGCTCTGGGAGCTCCGGGGCTCCCGCGAAGCTCCGGACCCGCGTCGCCGAAGCTGACAGCCCCGGCCGAGCCCCTCAGCACGGTGGGCGCCGCGCCCAGACCAGCGCGCGGGGCGGGGCGGGGCCGGGGGCCGCCCGGGAGGGGGCGGGGCCGGGACGCACGCGGCCGCGCGCCGGGGCTGAGAAGCGGCCCCTCCGGCCGCGCGGGGCGAGGGGCTGCGCCGGCCCGCGGGGCGCATGCGCGCTGCCGAGCGGCCCTCGCTCCCTCCCCGCCCACCCCTCCTTCCTCCCCCTCCCCCTCCCCTGCATCTTCGCAGCTCTCGCTCTCTCCTCGCCCGCTGGGTGCTGAAGTTGGGCGGATGGCAGGAAACCGGCTCCGCTAGAGGACCGAGCCGCCCAGCCCCGCTCCCCCGGACCCATCGGCGCGCTGCCCACACCTCCAGGCGACCGGGTAAGACGCTGCCTCCGAACCGAGCGGTGCTAAGTAAATGATATCAAAATGTCTGCTTTGCACCAGTGGATGGATTTTTTTCAAGGTGGGGGGGAGGTGAAGGAAGGAGGGGGCGGAGAGCGCGACAGCCCGTGCCCCGGCGGGGGCGGCTGCAGGGCACGGGGGTCTCGGCGGCGGCCGCGGCGCCCTGTGCTGGAGCGGGGGCCGAGCCGCGGGTCCGGGAAGTTGAATCCCGCGTCGCTGCCTGGACGCGGTCCGCTCGCCGCCCTCAGCTGCTGCGGGGAACCGGGCGAGTGTCCTGCCCGCCGGGGGACGAACGCTCGGCCGGGTCCCGGAGTTCCTGCGGAGAACCGGGCGCCTGCGGGGGCAGCCGGGAGGGCCGGACTGGGGGCGCGGAGACCCCACAGGGGCTCGAGGGGCTGCGGGTTCTGTGCGGTCGGCTGGGAGCGAGGGGAACGTCCAATCAACAGTGTCCAATCCGCCGATCACCTCGGCTGCTGTGTTTCCTCCCTCGTCTCTCTTCACCTTTGGGAAATGCACTGCTCAGGTGGGGAAGGTGTTCGCGGTAGAGGCTGCAAAAATGAAGCCTTTGAGCAGCAGTGAAATACCAGAGGGGTGTGTGTGTGTGTGTGTGTGTGTGTGTAGGGGGTGGGGGTCTCTTTTGTTCCTTCCCCTCCCCTTAGTGAAAGGAAAGGGAGTCCGGGCGTGTGCGGCGAGGGGTGGATTCCAAGGCCACAGAGGGGGCGAGGAGGAGGAACGCCCACCAAACGCGAGCCGCTGCCCGGGTGGGCGCATCGGAGCCTCCCTTGCTGTAGGTGATGATGGTCTTTCCGTGATCGATGGAATCACAGTTTCATCGCTGCCTCCCCGCCAGCCTCCCTGCTCTTCCTCTTCGAGTGCTGCGGCAGAGGCTGGGTGCAGACGCGGCAGCTTTCTCCTCTTCTCCCTGCCTATCTGTCTCCCTGAAAAATACCGGAGGACCCGAGGATGGCAGAGGGACGGAGCTGGCCTCGGAAGCGGTGGATGGGAGCTGCTCCTCGCTAGCCGGAGGCTGCTGGCGGCACGTCCGGGGCAGCCCGCGCCAGCCTCGGGAGTCCCTGGGCTCCGGGGAGAGCAAGCCCGTGTCGCCTGGGCACAAAGATGCCCGCGCGCCCGCCCTGCGTTTGGGACCCGCCCTGCGCCCCGCGCCTCTCGCGGAGCCCGGGACGCCGGCTCACCTGGGAGAACCCCTGGCCCCCGGGGACGACTGACCCTGGCTCCTGGCAGAACTCTCCTGACCTCCCCTGACCTTTCCATACATGCTTCTTTCCTTTAAAGAGTCACTTAAGATTTGTCTGGAGAACTTCACACGCTTCAGAGTTGTTTCCTTCTTTTTTTTTTCTTAAATTGTTTTACGACGAGATTCTCTCCAGGGTGGGATGGCTCTCCCAAATAATAAAGAGAAATCTTAGTTTGGTTCCCATGTAGAATAAGCAGTTCTGAGGCTGGGTGCCATCTGCATTTCCGGCGTTTACACCAACTGGTTTTCCGGGTGATGAACCCTTCTGAAAATCATTTATTCGAAGACGTGAGAATTGATTTTTATTCGTGTAGTGGAAAATAATGTTTTCCTCCTCGATTCATAGCTGCTAGACGCTGTGTGTACGAAATAATGTGCAAACTGTGAAACATTTAAAATATATTGTAGTTATTTCTAGAGTCTTTTGTATTGACAGTATTTTCCGAGAAATGTACATTATAGCACTCCTATCTAATGAAAAGGTGATTTAATACAAATGAAAGAGGTTTGCGCTTCTGCAGTTGTGACTATTGTTAAGCCATTAATTCTGTTAATGTGAACTAAAACAGTAATGAGCACACTCATGGGAGACTGGATTTATTGACTTGTTTTTATAATCTTTTGAAAACTACACTTAGAGCGACCATAGGAAAGTAGTTTATTTAGTTTTTGACAACTAAAAAACAAGTGTTTGTTATTAGAAGATTGGGTGGTATTCTTTATTAAATAAGGTAAATCTCCATGGCAATGACACCGGATCTCAGAGCCATGGGCACCCATGTTTCCTCCTTTCAGACTGTAGTCTGAAAGATTAGGAAACCATCTAATTTACAGAACAAACAACATGAGGTGCCTGTTAGGCTGATTGATTTCGACCCTTTTTACTCAAGTTCCTCGGCTACTCCTTGGTGTTTAGTCCCCATGGGAGGGAATTAATAAGGAGGGTTAATTTACTGACCTGTTCATTCTAAGGCAAATAGCATTTCCTTCTCAAATAAGTATCTCTTTGGTTGTAGGGATCTTCCTCAGAGGTCCTAGTTTATTTGAACTCATCATGTTTAAGGTCTAAGTTCATTATCATTCCTATGAACTTTTTATAATTTTGCATAATAATAATAATAATAATAATAATACTTCCTTAACCTTTCATACCATGAGGGCCAAGGTCTTTGAAGAAAAGGAGAAACATATATTCTTACCCATTTTATTTTTTTGTAACAGCCAAGCAAAAGTGAAAATTTTAAATCTGATTTGATAAAAATTCTGGTTGACTTACAGAGTAAAGTCTAAGAAAGAATTTACTTGTTAGTCTAAAGGTGTAGAGATAATGGCCTTTGTGTCAGAAGTCCATTTGATGAAATACAGCTTTCCTGGAAAAGGAAGGTAGGCATGAGTGATGAGGTACCATGCTAAGAGGGCTGGGAATCCATTCAATCACATTTCTGCTGACAATCCTGTTTCTGATACTCTCCAACTCTGCTCACTTAACACTGAAAATACTGCTCTAAGGAGATGAGCAAATAGAAGGACCACATTATTCTCATCAGAGGATGAGAATAATGCTATGTCATATTAAAAGCATTTTATTTCACCTGATTGCTATAGAGTATAAGTGTGAATGCATTGTGGAGGCTTAAAATTATATGACATTTCTGAGGGAGTGTCATGGGTGCTCAAATACATTTTTATAGAAAACCTTAAAAAAATCATTTGCTAAAGGTAAGTAGGTAGCCAAGACTTTCAATATGAGATTGATGGATACTCCCACTTTCCTTCTCTCCCCATCCACACTTAACTCTGAAAAAAAGACACTTTTTTAACTTCTGAAGAAATTTGTTTAGACTATTACTTCTGCTATTGTGCCAGCACCTATAGTATACTATACAGTATCTGGCAAGGGCAGGTGTAAAATAATTTTCCATAAATTAATAAATTTTCATGGTCAACCTGGCTCACAAAAGTCTTCCAAGATAAGAATTGAATTTTTAAAACTAGCACTTATGCTGTTTACCAAGTACACTAGTTGGGCTCTGAAAAATCACATTTATAGTCCTACATCTTTGGAGGAAGTAATTTTCAGAATTGTCATTCTGAGAATATGATTGTGTTTAATACAACATTTATATTACTGATTTGTTTCCCAATTTTAAAAGCAATATTTGCTTATTTTAGATCCGTATAACACAAAATTACCTGTGGGCCAATATGGATATGATGAACACTAATTTTGGGTCAAACTGGTCTTAGCTTGTGTTGTGGCTCCTCCCTTTAATAATTTAATTGCTGTAGGCAAGTTACTAATCTCTCTGAGCCTCAGTTTCCTCAGATATACAAAAGGGATAAAAGAAGAATGCAAACATAAATACAATGCAATATGTATGAAGTACTGAACATAGTGCCTGGCATGTACTGAGTGCTTATAATTATCTCAATACCTAAAGAACTACTACTGAAAACACAGGATAGTTTGCCACAGGTTTATTTCCTTTATATAAAGGTACCCTTGTCTTAAGAATTTGAATCATATTGGCTGGGCGTGGTGGCTCATGCCTGTAATCCCAGCACTTTGGGAGGCCAAGCCAGGTGGATCACCTTAGGTCAGGAATTCCAGGCCAGCCTGGCCAACATGGTGTAACCCTGTCTGTACTAAAAATACAAAAATTAGCCAGGCATGGTGGCAAGTGTCTATAGTCCCAGCTACTCAGGAGACTGAGGCAGGAGAATCACTTGAACCTGGGAGATGGATGTTGCATTGAGCTGAGATCGTACCTCTGCACTCCAGCCTGGGTGACAGAGCAAGACTCTGGTTCAAAAGAAAAAAAAAGAATTAGAATCATATTATAGAACAGGGGTCCCCAACCTGTTCTATAACCCACATGTATATGGTACACATATAGATGTGTACCAGCCCATGACCTGTTAGGAGCCGGGCAGCACATCAGGAGGTGAGTGGCTGGTAAGTGAGCATTACCTCCTAAGCTCCTCCTCTGGTCAGATCAGTGGCTGGCATTAGATTCTCATAGGAACGTGACTCCTATTGTGAACTGTGCATACAAGGAATCGAGGTTGTACATTCCTTATGAGAATCTAATGCCTGATGAGCTGACGTGGAACAGTTTCATTCCAAACTATTCCTCCACCCCCACTGCCATCCGTGGAAAAATTGTCTTCCACAAAACTGGTCCCTGGTGCCAAAAAGGTTAGGATGGCTGTTTTAAAACTTCATACTTCTAAAAAAAATTAGCATTCCTTTGTTGCTGTTTCTCAAGAAACTAAAATTGATATTTTTAATGTGATTTAGTGACTGCAAAATAATTCACCTTATGGATGTCTTTATTTAGCCTTTCTTTTATCTTTGGATTTTGATCCTTATGCCTAAATTTTGTGTGTGTATCTCTATTGCAGTTTCTCCTTTGGGCTCGATGCTTAGAATAGTTCATGCCAACATAATGCCATTCTTTAAAAAATCTTTGCTAACTTGATAGGTGAAAATAACATTTTTCAAACTTTTATTTATTTGGCTACCAATAAGACTGATTACTTTTGGACATGCTGATAAGCAGTTTTTGTCTTTGAGGATGGCTTGTTCAAGTCTTTAGCCTGTGTTTCCCCTGCTGTTCTGGTACATTTTTCTTATTTGTTTGAGTGTTAATATTAATTTTTTAAAAGGCAAATGCAGACAAGGAAAGAAAATGCTTAGTGACAAAGACTCCACGTGGCA